CTTGGCTAAATGTAAACAAAAGGTTCATTGACCTCATAAAATGTAAACAAAAGGGTCATTGAACCCTAAATGTAAATAAAGGTTGTGGACTTGGCTAAATATAAAAAATGGTTGTGGACTTCGCTAAATCTAAAATAGGTTGTGGACTTGGCTAAATGTAAACAAAAGGTTCATTGACCTCATAAAATGTAAACAAAGGGGTCATTGACTTTGGCAAAACATAAACATTAGGCTCTCTGACTTCATAATGTAAACAAATTTGCAATAAATTGCTCATTTTTGGAATCGCTGATAGCGAACCACTATAAAATATGGATGCCATACAAACTGATCAATCAATACCAAGTTTAATTTTTTTTTTTGTTTCTAACAAAATTCTTTTTAAATATTTGTTTTAAAAAAATTTTTATTTATTTAATTTTTATAGTTATAATTGAATATGTGTGAAAATCATAGCATCCCTCATGTTTAGCAACATTATGACCCCTGTTACAAATTGTCACACGAATAAATGTTGCGTAAACATGTTTTCAAAACAAACGTGCTGCCTTATCGACTATATGTCAAAAACCTGCTTTGCCGATTCAAGTAAAATAACAATCAAAATTGACAATTTCGCTGCGCTTCACTCCGCTCTTTTGTTTAATAAACAAAAAAATCCAAATAAACATTACGCGTCTGATGTATTACAACAAAAAGTAACAAAATTTTGATATACAGATTATAGTTGATTGTAAAAGCGCGCAAACTTGCAATTTGCTATGTTGCGTTGCATACGTTTCGGTGAGGTGTTGCTAGATGAGACTTTCCGGACATTTTTAATATGTAATCAGTGCCAGGCGGAATTCGTGGAAGTGCCGGAGTTTCGTGTGCATATTGCGACCACCTCCTGCGGAGAGCGGCTATTTAAGGAAAATGTAATTGGCTTAAAATTTGGTGCCGCACAAGTCACGCGCACCAGCAAAGAAAAAACAGTGAGTGCACAAGGGAGTGCGTTCTTTTTGGTTTAAAATAAAATTAAATTGATTATTTGCTTTTAGTATTTGTTGTATAATCCAGCGGATGTGCAATTAGCTACCACAGAGACGGTGATTAACAGCGCTACAACATCAGCAGAAGGTGGCGACGATGCCTACTTAGATTTAATGAAAATAGAAGAAGAACTACTCGATCCGCGTTGGTACACAGATATTGCAAGTGCACAAACTGAAGTGGCTAGTCCACAAGTTGCTACAACAATATCAGGCGCGGCTAATGCCAATAAACCGATGGAATATAAAGAACTCGTAGAGGCTGTGGGACCGTATGTCCAGTTTAAAGAAAACGCCTCAAAAAGAAAACCCAGCAGCATTGTGGTGAGACGTTTTCCCAATAAGTCTGATAATCCTGCTGCTGCTAAAAAAAATCCAGTATTACAAACGAAACTTGAGCAAAGCAACGACCAAAAAACGGTACGTTTGCTGAATCCTGCAGTGAAACGAAAACTTGATATGGCACCAAAGCAGGTGCAATTTAATGATAAAGCGACTGTAAAATATGTAATTAATGAGAAATTATGTACGAATTCTGCGGCAATAACTGAAGAAATATCGCTAAATAATGGCGCGGTGGTAAAGCGCCGTAAAACGATAAATATACCCGCGGAGCATACGAGTGTGCGGCAAGACCTGCAGGAGCAGGCCATTAGGCGAAGTTCAGATGTACCAAAAAGTACAATCGGAATGACCGCAGTACGTAAGACTGTTACGCAAGCAACAAATGCAGTTGGAGCTAACAAAACTGCAAAATCGCACAATATCACTACTGCGCCGGCTGTAGCAAGTTCAAAGATTGCTCCCGCAACAAAATTGGTATCAACAGCTGTACCTAAAACCGACGCAGCAGTACAGAACAAAGGCCTGTTGCCTCAAACGCGTGCGATAGCTAAACAAATGAATGGCAAAAATCAAGCAATCAACTCCAATTTGCTAGTTAAAAATCCTAACACATACGCCAGAGCTAACACGAATGGTATAACAAGCGACAAACCGCTACCAAATCGAACCACATCCGTATCTGTCAACAAAGTAGTACCAACAGCTATCAAACCACAACCACGTACTGTTACTACATCGGGCGTAGGAGCAACACAAGCGGCAGCCGTCGCGTCTTTGAAGCAAACAGCACCACCCGCACTAGCACCCTTATCAAGTAGTAATCCCACTGCCACTGCTCAACAGAAAACCAATGATATATTAAACAAACTACAAACGCGCGGCTTGCAGGTGAAACGCACGCAGCCGCCCGTCACGACATTGGTCAACACAAGTCAACAGAAGAAAACGATGGAGCTGCTGCAAAAACTGCAATCCAAGGGCATGAAGGTGAAAATACTCAATGGCAAGGAGGCGGTGTGTGCAAGTGCCAGCAACAATTTGCCAACCACTGCAGTGAGCGATGCGAAAATCTTGTGCAACGTGGGAAGTGCCGCGTTGGCGCTGGTCAAACCAAATAAGACGATTTTAAACAATAAGCTCATAATTAAGAAAGTAAAGTAGTAGTAATGGTAGTAAAGTAGAATTTTACTACGTTTTGTCGATAACCGTTAGGCTGTTTTTTTTTTTTTATAACAAAAGCAGATTTTAGATATTTATTTATCCGCCAACAAATTTTGTTTCAAAAACGTATTCATTAGAACTGAAAAAAAAAATTCGAATAATCTATGTAATTTCCTTTATGTATTAGTTTCGTATTAATATTTTTTTAAATTATAATTCATTATGTAATGCTTAATATTTAAGCAAACAAATATGCGTCACTAAATGTTTACTGTTCTCATCTATGTTGAATAACATATTAACATATGTATGTATGTCTGTATTTATGTTCACTCAGCTTCGTTTGCCGCAGCTGAGCAGAAATATTTGAAAATAAATCGTTTTCAAAAACTTGATTAAGAAAATAAAAGTGTTTGGTATTGGGAAATGAAAGCAAATCTGCAGCGTTGGATTGTGGCAAGTACCTTTTGACAATGGCTTAGGTCCAAGAAATGTTTTTTATGCCATTTCACCTACTTACTTTTCCTTATGCTTTAACTCTCAAAGTGTTTAGACATAGTTCCAAAGGTTTTGGAGAGTTATACGACTAAGAATTGTAATCTCAACAGCATTCTTTAATGATAAGTTTTATGCTGATACAACAACAACACAACGCTACTACTAAAACGTACAACTTTTTAACCGATATTATACACAAACAGATTTATTATATTGTAAACAATCACGGCTGCAATGACAGCTTGGAAAATGGTCTATCTAAAAGCACTTTACTCAACGTTGCGGTATTTGCTATGCTCACAGCTTCACCTATATTGCCGCTATCCGCAGCCATGCCGCCTTCCGGTGTAACGGAGTTGCGTACCAATTCACGCAGACTTGCGGATATTTTCGCTGTTTTGGCAATAGCCTCTTGTCGACGTTGACGCTCTTCAATAAAACGTTGCGACTGCTCACATTTCTGCTGTATGTGCTCCTCTAGCTGGGCCAGCCGCTGGCGCTCCAACTGCTGCGCGTCGCGCCAGTGCTCCTCGTGCACCAACTCTTCCATGTGATTATCGTACCGTAACCGGCGTAGATAGCTATCCAGCATATTGGCGCGTATTAGCTCGGCGCGCTGCAAACGTTCGCTTAAACGTTCACAAATCTCTTGCTTTCGTAACTTTTCGTCGATTTGTTGCTCTTCCTGCTGCACAGCGACCGCCTCCGCGCGACGTAACTCCTCACAACGACGCTGACACGCCGCTATACCACGTTCAACTTTGAGCGCATCAAGTCGTCGTTTCGTGCTCATATCTTTTTGTTGCAATGCTTCGCGCAAGCGTCGCAGTTCGCTCAAATCGCGCTGCGCAATTTCGTTTAGGCGCGCCTTTGTCAACAAATAATCTTGAAATTGCTTGTCACGTATCGCGCGTTTGTACTCCTCCATTTGCGCGCACTTGAATAGTTCGCGTTCGTAACGCTCATTTTCCCAGTATTTGCGCGCCAACCAGGCATTCTCTTTGGCAATGGCGCGTTCGGTGCGCTTATGCACCATACGATTTAGTATGCGTCTATCATGTGCTGGTACTTGTTGGTAAGCGGCGCGTACTGTGGGCACCAAGCAAAGGCTTGCCATGGACGCGCACAGCTTTTGTGAAGTTAGCGATGATGACAATTGCGTCTCGTCACTGGCTTGCTGGTTGCTCTTCGATTTTACAGCGCAACGCGGCAGTGTATGGGAATGTTGGAGCGTACTGGTGTCTGCATGTTCCACCGTTGCTAAGGTTTGCTTAAGCGCACTGACGCCGTTCACTTGTAGTGAGGTCATTGCATCGTCATCCTCATCGTCGTTGAGCGCGCTCAACAATTCCTGCAAGATTTTACAATCGCGCGTGTAGTATGCGGCGCGTTTAGCGGCCGGACCAACCGATGTTGTAATTAAAGGTGTTGGGCTGCGACTGCGCAGGCTACATACACTTTTGGAGCGCTTTACCGAAGCCGCAGCGTTTCGCTTTGGCACTGCGCCATTCTTGTAGTGGGCCGCCGCAGCTGGACTTGTACGCGCGGAATGTGTTGGCGTGTTTTTGGCGCTTTTGGATTTTAGTGTTATTGTTGATGTGGCTTGTGTACTGGAAGGCTTCGTTAAATTACCGTTAGATGTTGTAACGGTGTTGTTTTTTCTTCTGGCAGCTCTAGATTTACGCATCGAACGCTTTTTACAAATATTCTGTTCAATGGAAGTGGTGGAACGCGTCACTTCAGTTGGCCGAGTATTTTGTATTGCTGAAACTTCTAGTTGCTCTAGTGCGTGCACGTCACGTTCTAGCCCCTCATTTTTGCACTTGTTATCGATTTTTTCGAAATGCTCACCACAGTTGAGTGCTTCCGTATTTAAGCTGCTACGACCGTATTTAAGCTGCTACGATGTGAGCTGTAACAATCACAGTGGCAAATCTCGCAGCAGCTGTCACTTAAGTTCAATGAGTCAAGTTCGGCCAAGAGCCGCCAGTGCTGCTCCGCCGCCGTAGCTCTTGTCGTAGCGCGTCCATGCATGGCTTTACAAAGTTGCTCACCAACACTTCCCTTGTTTTTGCTCTCGACTTGGCACTTTGGCATTAAGAAAATATATCAGCTATTCAAAAGCCATTCGTCGGCTTTGCCATCTCCGCGCGCTTCCGTGTGACCTAAGGGAATTAGGTCACTATACCTTAGCTTTGTTTTTATTCTTTACAAAATCCAGTTATATATCGATTTCTTTCGCTTACGCCACTATTTTTGATCTTTTCAATCTGTCCATTTGCTACCGACTGTTTATCGGACTTCTTTCGTTCGCCACCAAAATTAAACGTCGAGTTTGTTTACTTTCTATTGATTGTGGCTAGCTTTTGGTATAGTTTCCATGGAGATCATTTGTAAGTTTTGACATATTATACCGCTGCTGCATCGGTATTTTGCTGTTGGTGTAGCTAAATTTCTTTACTCAGTTTTGGTGTTGCGGCTTTCAATTATATTTAAGCACATTAGAACATGATAATTTATTTCGCTTTTATTTCTAGAGAATATGCAGCTTACTATTAAATTTATTTCACAACAAAATATTTGTAATAACATAGTGTGATTTTAATTATGTAACAGTACCAAAACTACTTTTGAAAAAGCAAACAGAATTGTAACTAATTTTGATTCTAAAACTGCAAGACACATTCAAATCTACATAAGACTTTTGCAAGTGTGCTTAGATGTTTATTTATTATTAAAATATAAAATCAATAATTTATAAAGTTATACCAAAAGAAAAAATTGCAAAAGTATAGTAAGCTTCCTTTCTTTCTTTTTTGACATATACCATACATACGTGTAGACATACTTAACTGCATATTTCCAACGAATGGCTTTTGTCAATTTACATAAAATCAAAGTTACTCTCATCATACGGACGATTCCCACCCATGGGCACACCACCACCCGGTCCACCGCCCATTTGATTTGGTGGGCCGCCACCCATTTGCCCAACCACCGGACCGCCTGGGCCACCACCGCCACCCATTTGGGGTCGAAATTGATTGGCAGGCGCTGATTGTTGTTGCAGCAGCAATCGTAAGCCTGGATTGTTGCTCATCATTGGACGCACCATGCGTTGTTGCTGTTGTTGCTGCTGCTGTTGTTGCATGGCTGCTGCAGCTGCTGCCGCTGCAGCCACAGCGTGTGGTGAGACTTGCTGCATTTGTGCATTCGGTCCACCCATCATAGGCATGCGCTGCTGTGTTTGTTGTTGCAATAAGTTCATTTGCTGCTGATGCTGCTGCATTGGACCACCACCGACCATTTGATCGGAGAGCTGCATGCCGATCACCCCTGGTGGTGGTCCTCCTCCACCTGCTATGGGTCCACCCGGACCACCACCGGGTCCGCCCATTTGCATGTTCATTTGCTGAGCATATTGATTGTAGTTTTGTTGCTGTTGCTGCTGCTGTTGTTGTTGCTGCTGCTGCTGCTGCTGCTGTTGTTGTTGTTGTTGCTGTTGTTCCATTTGATGTTGCACATCCATTGGTGTAGGTTTTTGCTGTTGTTGCGCCATTACGTTTGGTGGCAAGTTATTTTGCATTTGACCTGTCGAAAAAATTTTATGTGAAATTAGAATGAGCGCCTACAGTTTATTGCTAATACCTTACCCATGGCATTCTGCATTTGTTGCTGTTGTTGTTGATGCTGCTGCTGCTGTTGCTGGTGCTGTTGTTGCTGCTGTTGTTGTTGCTGTTGCTGTTGTCCATGACCCATTTGTTTCTGTTGTATAACCTTTCTGAGGCGTTCCACAAACATCGTCTGATTGTTGGGAATAAAGCCAAGAAAGGCGTTTTTCTCCTGTGTATATAGCAGAATTAGGACCTTTATTTCACAAGCTGGTCCAGAAGGGTTTGTAAAGTGTACGCAACCGGCAAAACCTGTGGCCATCACTTTGGAAAGTGTATCTAGCGCCTCACATTGCGTGGGTTTAAATACCACCATTTTAGATTCTTTTAAGAACTGGCCACCAATATTGCCCACGAGGTGCTTCGGCATAAGTTGCATTAATAATTTTGGTGGCCAATTATCGGCCTTGATTTCGGGTTCGCCATCTTTGAAATTAGTGGCTACACTGCATTGTAATGTTCGCGTTACTTTCTGTTGATCGGGTTTGGTCTTTTCATTCCACTCAAGAACACCGGACCAAATCTTGTCACGATCTCGTGGATGCGGAGCGGTATCATTACCACTAGTTCCGCCCGAAGTTGAGGAGACTGCCTGTTGCATGTTGCTGGGACCAGCTCCTTGTGCATTTTGGTTGGGACCCTGTCCGCCAGCATTGTTCATAGATTGTTGTTGTTGCTGTTGAGATTGATTCTGTTGTTGCTGTTGTTGTTGCTGCTGCTGTTGTTGTTGTTGCTGCTGCTGTTGTTGTTGCTGCTGCTGTTGTTGTAGCTGTTGCTGTTGCATTTGCTGCAATTGTTGTTGCTGATGCTGATTCAACATTTGAATTCGCATTTGTTGTTGTTGTTGTGCCAATAATGGATTAACATTTTGGCCAGGTGGCGCACTGAGCTGTGAAATTAATGCCGAATTTTGATTTTGTCCAGGGCCTATGGGGCCTTGTTGAGGACCACCCATAGGTCCACCTGGTCCCATACCAGGCGGCATACCTCCCGATCCGCCCATAAATGGAGCACGGGGTTGGCCAGGTTGTTGCTGTTGATTAGCTTGAAACATCCAACGATTCTGAGGATTTATGTTTACATTCGGCTGGAAGTTGGGATTTTGATTCTGATTTTGGTTCACAAACTGTTGTTGTTGTTGCTGCATCAGTTGTTGAGGTGTTAATACGGAAGGTCCTCCTGGTCCTTGTTGAGATGGCAGTTGTTGATTTTGATTCATACTACCAACTGGATGCTGTGGTCCTTGTGATCCTTGAACAGGTCCTTGTGAGTTGTCGATTTGCATTGGCCCACCTTGCGGCTGCTGTTGTTGTTGTTGTTGCATTTGTTGATTTCCTCCCGCTCCGACCGGTACAACCATTTGATTAGGCATAACTCCACCACCACCGCCAACATTGACCGTATTCGCATTTGGACTAGGAGGACGTTCCTTCAAATGATATCCTTTAAGAAGAACTAAGTGTCTAATATTTTTAGCGTAGTTTTTGGCAGCAACTGGTTGATCACCATCCGCTTTCATGAATAATTTGAATAACACTGGCATTTTACGTGGTGCTATTATGGAGAAATTAATTTTTCTTTCATGAAATAATGTCGCTAATTGTTCCACTGTTTTTCCCATATGCTTCCAGCATTCCATTACAGGTGTGGAATATGGTGGACTATTGCAAATTAATATGCAATGGCGTTGTACATTTAAAGCATCAATCATTAGACGCGAACGGCGTTCCTTCATGTCTTCGAAACAACAATGGGCTGTAGCCAAGCCCTCACACATGTTTGCACAAGAATCCATGCCACCACCAACCAATGGCAATTGTTCAATAGTCTCCAACACTTGCTTCGGCCAAACAAATGGCCCGTATGTGGATACGGCAGGATCTAGTAAATTAGCAGCAGTGCGGTATATTACAATGCCATATTGCGTGGCATGCCGTTCGGAGATGAGGTATTCACCTTCATCCCCCTGCCAACCTTTTGTGAAATGTTCAATAGTGGGCACAATATAATTACTCTTCAACTCGTTCATGTAAGCGCCATTGACAGCGGTGGCTTCGATAACAAACACCACATCGGCTACTACGTCCAAATCCATATTCTGCATAATTATATCAATGTAAAAATAATTGTCTCAATGAACACTACAAGTTTTTTCTTGAAGCAAACTGCTCGAAAGTTTGGCCCACACAATCACAAGCACGCAACTTTCAATATTTAATATTTTGGGACACCAAAATTCTATCAAATCATTTTTTTGTATTTCTATTGTCTTTTGTAATAACGCTTGAACACTAATTTACTAAACAATTGATGAAATGGTTTAGTTTGTGTATTTAGCAGAATGAAGAAATTTCACGTACACTTTTATTCAACTGCTCTGCTTTTGCTCAAAACTAACCATTCACAATTACACAATAACAAGGTAATTCACCGGTAAATTAGCGTTGCCAGATGCCCTGTACATAATTTACATGATAAGAAAAATGGTATACCATATATATATACATATATTTTACTAAAACATAAATGTAATTACTAATTAGTAAATTAAATTTACAAAAAGAAATAGTAAAGTCATGGTAAATTGGTTGGTACAACTCTGGCGAACTAAACCGTTGCCGTTGCGAAAATTTAGGATTACAAAATACTTTACACAGTTACCTCAAGTAAATTATTTCAACGTCCATTAATATTATTTTACTCAGTTAAAGAAATAATATGTATTCAGTAAAATTATCATAAAATTATTAAATAAATTAAATTGAACATATATAAACAATGAAATACAACTCTGGCGAAAATCATCTGTTCTTGACAAAACAGATGCATTCGGCATGGAACATTCCATCTGGTAATACAGCTGTTTCGCTCATACTCACGTAAACCTCTTGCAAAAGCAAAAATCGAAACGGCAGCCATCTTTTTCCATGCTTTCTTAAGGCAACCGATTTCGGTCCGAAAACATGTGAGAATGACTGACACAACCCCGTTTCAGATTTCATGCAGCATACCATTTTCTTTTAGCCAAAGTATAATCAGCAGGCAACGAATTGACCACAACCAGCTGAAGACAGTGGCAGTGGCAGTCAGCGGCTAGAGCTGAAATGAAAATTCAGTTTGTTTCCAGTCGTCGTCTCGTCAATATTAAGTCAAAAACTTCTAATTCCTAAAGACACGTGTGGTCAGACGCAAGTAAGAAGTGAATATGAAAAACTTGATAAGTCAACAACGCGTTACTTGCGAATGCACTTACGATCAATTTGACAATTAATGTGTGGCGAGTTATGATATTTCTTGACTAATGTCTGTGTGCGTCTAAAATAATTTTTCAGTGCAAAAAAGTGTGGAAAAAACCACATAAAAACGAATAATTAGTGCAATTGTGTATGAATTGATTTCGAGTGCCGTGTATGCTTACAATTACATTTGGGTGAAAATTTTCTTTTTTATTACATTGTAGTGAACGAGAGAAATACTGTAGTAGCAGATTTTTCGCGGTAGACTTTGGATATCGTTGCATTTCGCTTGCACAGAAGTTAGTGGCGCGATAAACGTTTGTAATCGCGCTTCTATTATGTTATGCTAGAAAGAGGCAAATATAAGTAAATATACTTATGTAGTAAAGAGGTAAGTGCCATAGTTATCGCATTCATGCTGGGTGTGCGAGTGAATTGGACAGGATTTAGTACTGTCTATTTTGTTTTTACGCCCCGCGTAGGGCCATCAGTTCATCATCGTTTTTGTTTTTGTTGCGTTCTTCAATATTTTGTTTTTGTTTTGCTTGCAATATTACGGCAATTGGTACATGAAATGTATGAAATTGGAAACGTATGAAAAGAAGGTGAAGCAGAGAAAGAAAGAGAAAATTGAGTGGATTTTTTTCAGAGAGCGTATAAACTTTTTCCCTCTCGTACAAATAAAAGCGAGAGTGAAAAGAGCTTTTGTAGATTTTCTGCACCCCCTGAAGGTTACGTATTTAGCGCACTGGAGGAAAGTTTACATTTCTTTTACGTTCCCGTACACACATATGTACATAATGTATATGGGTATATATTACGGGATGTGGTAAGTATTTCTGCTACTTGAGTGTTTCGGGAAAAGTTAATAGTTGGCTAAGGGTTTGTTGATGCACACATTTTCTGTTTATTTAGTGCATAATGATAGAAGGGATAGGAGTGATAAGCGTCAAAATAAATACAAAGTGATAACGTTTGTTTAATGTGTATGAAGCGCACAATCGTGAAAATTATTAATACTGACTCAATGAAATTTTCCATGATAAATATTTAATTAATGATAAAATTGTATAAGTGTAAAAACTACGGACAACAAATAGACATATATTTTTTTTAAAGCTGTAATTGCCTTAATATTCTCACAGCTCAGTATTTGCCATAAATCAGTTACACACAAGCCATAAATTTTAGTTAGCGATGCCACCGCAATACCCACCGCCGCTAACATCAATTGGCTGCCTACCACAATATCTCGAAGGCCAATAAACAATCAGAAACGTGCTATGCCAATGAGGTAGGTGAGTACGAATTTTCATCTGTAGCCCTTTCAACTACTCTGAAAACCACTAACCGCCCGTTGGTTAGTCGATACCGTAACTCCATTTGGCCAATAACATTTCTATGAGCTGCCATTCAAAACTTTTGATATATTGCACAGCCGGCAGCGGTAAGAAAGTGAGCACACTCCTTCGGCTATAGTTACGTTGCTGAGGCATAGCAAGTATAGTACCTACAAGTACAACAATTACAATAGCATCGCACGTGAACGAAAAGTCATTTTAAAATGCAATAAAATGTTGAAACCACCAAAGAGGCGATAAAAGCAAAAAAAAAAACGTATTTTGCTGTATAGTAAGTATGGTGTACTTCTAGGGAACAATTGCGTGCAAAAAAGTGCCAACTCAGCCAAATATTCGGTGAATGGTAAAAATAAAACAATATATTTTTCAAGTGACAGTTGCCAGTATATTGCTGAAAAACGAGAGTATTACTAGTCGTTATTTGTAGGGAAGATATGGTTTTGCCCCCCAAAATATTGTGTGCTGTCGGTAGTTGTGCAACTTGTTCGTGGTGTAGTAGCAACAGTTCCCTGTAAAGTTTGTAAATTAGTTCTACAAGCAGCATTCACGTTCATTCTGTAAATTTTTTATTGTTTACATTCTTAACTTTCTTTGCGCTACGAAAAAGTATACGATACGGTTCTTACGATTGCGGCTTATACATATGTAAGTATACACGAGGCGACTTATAACATAGTTTGAGGCATGTACACCCATCTTAAGCTGCATAAAAGTCCCACTTACGAACATAAAAACGCTGGAAACGGTCAAGCTTTCTTCAAAATCCCTTGCAACACTTAACACACCGGAAGTATCGATATTCCGCAATTTTCCGTAGTTCGACTCCCAAATATTAAAATAAAACCCTGCCTCCCAGTGAATGGCGTACTTGGAGTCAAACCACCACCCATTTCAGACGAAGAGTTGCCTCGCGAATCTTGACTGACCCTTGCGCAATTTCGTTCTGGATATTGTAGCAGGTTAAACTCTTTTCTATCCAGAATCGACCTCGATGTACAAAATATACATACCTATGTGTGCTCTCCTGTTAACTACGTGAGGGTACAGAGAGTTACCGTATAAACATACCATATAGATAGCCAATCGTCATTGTTAGCCTCTTCATCGCCAAAGATAAACTCCAACGCGGTCAACAAATGTAGGAAGGCTTTAAGCTCACTGGCAGGTCAACTCCATTTATCGATAATTTGAGTTCCCGGCCATAGGAACTTTTCCGCAACGAAAAACCAGAGAGGTTGACCAAGTCAGAAGCCTCTTTAGACGAGTCTGAGGCGGAGACAATACGAGGCAATTTAAACAAATAGTTCAGAACAGATGGAATTAACAATCACATGCAAGATAGCGAAATATATATGGCCAAAATATGACAAGACAAGAACTGCCTTATTAAATAAGTCCAGGAAAAGTATATATAGACTTACAGCCAGCTTAGCGAGACATTGGCCCTTTGGAGAACACGCGTTAAAATATTTCTGCCTCATAACAATATTTGCCGTAGCTGCAAACTTGAGTGTAAGTAAGGAAACGGCTGTACACTTCCTCTGCGAGTGCCCAGCTCTATCATAATCCGGATGTAGAACTCTTGGAATCCATCAGGTACCAAACCTAGATGTTTATCTACAAAAAGCATAGCGGAGATGGTTTGAACACAACATTTAAAGGTCTTACGAATAGTGTATCAACGAATTGAGCCCGTAAGGGCGACACTTTGCCTACCTACATACCTACCTAACACCCCTCTCACTATGATTCGACCCCATCGAAACAGCACATTTCCTTGGTCTCCTGTTAAACGATATCGTTGGCAACTAACCTTCAAACTTGCCACCCAAGCATAGTCTAGATAAACGCTACAATCAAAGATTTTACTTATTGCACCAGTTTAAAAATTCGTATATGTGTGTGTACGTATGTTCATATGTATGTAAAAAAGATTCAATTAAATATTATGGAATCGCAACAACAATATAAAGCAATAACCATCTACAGTTAAAGTTATATTGGTGTTAATAATGACAGCTATCATTAAAATAAAAGTTTTACGTTGCATGCAAATATCGCACAAACTAAATTGGACGAACAAAGTGCGACAGTGAAAGGTAAAACCATGCACGTATCAATGCTCATACATACACATACACACATGCATATGCACATGCGATTGGCGCTCATTTGCATATACACTTTTTTTGTCCCTTTTTCTTTGCATTGTGCTTGTTGGTTATCTCCAACAGTAGTTGTTGTTATTGTTGTTGTTGCTGCCGCTGCCGCTAGCCCCACACTAATTTTTAAAAATGCGTTGCAAAACCAACCGCCGCCATAACCGCTGGCCCTGGCATGTGCCGCCACACAAAAGCGGTGTAGTGGAAGCAGCATATTCATGCATGTGAAGCTAGCATGCACTCCCATCACACAAACATACAATACATACATATATTATATCTATGTATATGTTAAATGTTTGTAGGCATGTATATTTGCAGTTAAGCATGAGTTGTGGACCCATGCCGAGTCTGCGGGCGCATAATATGTAAATCGTTCACGCTAACTGCGGTGTTGACGATGATACTGCTGCTGCTGCTGCTGCTGCCATGCAGCTAGTCAGTCAGCCAGCCTAGTTTAGTCTACGAAATGCGCGCTCACAAGCTTGCAAACATGCGGGTATTGTGTATTTTTTTATATATTTTTTTTCACTCCAACTCGCACTGGCTTGTGTATAGTATGTATATATACATGTATATATGTATATGCATATAAAAGCCTGCTAATATGCAACGTGTACTCACTTCTTCTAATAGATTTTCTCCATCTGTTTTGTTCTTTATCTGTATCAATGCTTGGTTTGGTGTGTCTGTTGGCTTGTAGACCACTTGACAAACCTATTTCCAACTCTAGTTCTTTTTATCACATTTTCGTTTTTGTGGGTTTGTCGCTCTGTCTATCTGTCGGTCTACCTAGCCGCCGAAGTGTGTTTTGGTCTGCAATCGTCTTTTTTTTTTTTTTACTTTTTTTTTGTTTTGTTTTTTTTTGGTTTTCCGTGTGTTTGCTCGCCGTTCTTTACCCAACTCATTCTCATTCACCAGCAGTTGCCCCATTTGTTTTGTCTTTCAGTCTGTTTGCTTGCCTTCTATTCATTTCAATTAGCGCGCTCTTCTGTGCAATGTTGACCCGTCTGCCCTCCACTGGCTTTTAGCAGAACTTCTGTGTCGCTTTTGTGTCTTCCAACCAGTCGTTTCTACTGTGTATTGTAAGTTTAATTTTCTATGTAAAATGTCCCAGAGGAAGTTTGTAATAGCAGCTACTCTGGAGCAGTTTGCCTATTTGGCAATAATGAAGTGAATTTCTTCCTCTTTAAAGCCTGTTTAACTAGAAAGTAGCAAATTTAATTAAAGTCGCACCAAAGACACCTAGACAGTACTGATCATGCTCACGATAGTCAGATCTAGGTAACCGGCATGAATCTGAATTTTTAGCCGGCCAAGTACTGTCAACTAGGCCGCATTCCTCGATATAACTTCAGCGTTGTTTTTCCCCGTTAAAACAATAGAAATTGATTTAATAAGGAATATGTATAATTTTATGTAACTTCTATAAATATTTGCAGTTTAATTGGCAAGCCTTAAACAATAATAAATAGAATATCTAAAAACTTGCAATGCCTAAATTGTCGCAAAAATCGCAGCTTTTTTTATTGCCTAGGTAAGTATGGCTATGGCCACCTAGAGCGCATTTACACACACATTTTCGTCGCGTTGCGCTTTCAGGTGCATGCCATTGCCATATCGCGTACCTCCAAAGACTTGTTATGTGTTTAAACCTCGTGAAACCCACTTTTTTCTATGCATTTTTTGTTCTCTTTCTTCATTGCTTCTTCCGTTTAGTGTCGTCGGTCGCCGCTGATGTGAATTGGTTTGTTTGTGTCGATTTTTCGACATTTCTGCTACTCGCCCAGTCCATTAACACCTTTCCTAAGCTGGCACACACACAGTGTCTATCGTTCATTGCCGCACACACATATATACACTTATATTTACATACACACTTATATGCATAAATTTGTAGATTTTCAGCGTCCTCAGCACTCATTTGCATTTTTTAACTATTTGGTGCGTTAGCACTCGGCACAATATAGTATATGTATATGTTCTTGTATGTGTGTGTTTGGTAAAGTTTTGTGTGTGTGTATGCAGTGATTATGAATATTTTAACTCTCATTGCGTTGGTTTTTTGGAGAGTAGAAAATATAAGGCATCACCAGCATCGCCATTAACACACACACATACATGTTCATATGTGCTTACTTACATACATACATACATACATACACAGATTTCCACGTACACACATTAAATATAATTTAACATTGATTGACGTTAGCTTAGCAGACAATTGGTTTTGGAGCAGGATTATTTATGCACGTCAATATGTATGAGCTGCGGTTATGTTCCTGTGCAGACTGCGACGCCCT